AATACAATTAATACACAAACTTTTTTACTTCATTTTAATATATATATATATATGCAGTTTATATTACACAATTTATAACACAATTAATGCACAAACTTTTTTACTTCATTTTAATATATATATATATATATGCAGTTTATATTACACAATTTATAATACGATAAAACACACAAACTTTTTTCCTTCACTTTAACATATATATAGGCTTTTTGTTATACGTGTATTTCTAATGTGTTATAGATAAAAATATAATTTGATAATAAAAAGAAAAAAAAATACAATAGAATGATGAGTTATAACTTCTTGGTTTCGTGCAGAATCGTAATCGTAGTCCTCGTCACAGTGTCGACATTTATCAATCGGTTAAATTATCAGTCGACGTACAAATTGATACATTAGTAATCTCCGTTGCTGCTGTGGTAGCACCAGGTAACGGATCTTTGAATTGCTATGTCGTAATAATGCAAGGTAAACGTTTGGAGATCGATAAGTTAAAAAGATACAACACACACACACACACACGCACGCACACACACAGAAAGAAAGAAATAATCATTTTAGAACGTACCACAAAATAATCATTTCTTTTCTCTCATTATTATTATTATTATTATTTTCATATATTACCGAATGGAAAACTTATCGTCACCGCATTGGTCGAAATTTTTTTTCTACGAGTGCAAAGTAGATAAAATTTTGTAAGAAAAAAAAAAAAAAAAAAATATAAAAATAAATAGAAGAAATAAAGAAGAAGAGTCTCAGTCAACGTTCTCTTTGAAAGTGCGTAGTCGTAGTTGCATACTTGCGTGCGCGACTTGTTGTTGAACCGCAACTTCACTTTTCCATCGATTTTTTGTATTTAATATCCGTCAGGCAAAAGCCGGGCACAGAGAGCGAATGCATGTTTTCTGGTCGTCGTCGTCATCGTCATCGTCATCGTCATCGTTGTTGAGTTTCCATGGCAAACCACCGTGCAATTACGTTGCACAATAATCTATCTCTCAGTTTGTCTCTTATGTATATAAGAAAAGTGCATTAATATGTGTGTGAATATGTGTATGTGTTTTTATAAATACACACGTGTACGTAATCTTGTAGGATATAGAAAGCTTGTTTAGATGAAAGATTTAGATGAATATTTAAAAGTAATGTCTATCGTACACGCGTATTGGTTATTGTTTATTTGTTTAATTTTAATCAAATTAATTTAGAAATAAAATATAATATAGAAAAGCATAAATTTATAATACAATCGAATTTATAATACAATTTTCTATCATAGGTATTATTTAATGCAACATATATTTTTCTTTTCATATAATTTATATTATATTATAAATAGATAATAATAATAATAATAATACTATGTGTGTTTTATAGTAGAGTTGTTTTCTTTGTAATATCTTAGAAATATTCTTTCGTTTTAGAAAATTTCTGAACTACGCGAATGCTTATATTTCATTCTTGAAGAATTTTAGAAAATATAAACCCGTTGTGTTGGATGTGTTTTGTTAAAAAAGAAATAGAAATGAATGTCTCGATTTCAAAGTAGACAAAAATCTTGTCACCTTTTACTTTTAACAATTGGAATTGGAATTTATATTATTATTTATCTATCGAATTGGTTCATTCGCAAGAAATCAACCGTGCTCTAACTTCAAACCGAAATACCTATCCTCTATTGTTATTTTTTAAACCTTCAAAAGGTTTCCTTAATATTAAAAGAGTCAACAATAAAGAATATATTCAATAATAGTTGTTCTATCGTGGTATGGCTTTTTAACATGTAAGAAAATTCAATTGAAAGAAAAAGAGAAAGTTGGATTCCATTCGATTTCTAACGCTTTTTATTTTCTTTTTACAAATTGTTCTCTATTCCCTTTGTCATTATATTTAACGGTTAACGTATAACACTATTAACAAAGACTATTTTCTTTTCTATTTTTCGATATATATTTGAAATCTAGCATAGAAAAAAAAAAGAAAGAAAAGAAAAGAAAAGAAAAAGAAGAAAGAAAAAAAGAAAAAAGGAAAGAAGGAAGGAGGTTAAGGTTCAGGAATAATAATAATAATAACAATAATAATAATAATAGAAGAATAGGCGAGAGAAAGGACAGTATTAATTGACGAGGAGGACTCCCATGGGTACTTCTTGGTCAACTCATAATTCTCTCTTAATGCGACGCTTTTCTTTTCTTTCTCTTTCCCTTCTCCACCCTTCCACCCTTTTCCTCCTTCAATATACTATTTTGTTCCAACCCTCTTTTTCCACCACCACCATCAACAACGTTAGTTTCTCAAACGCCTGAGATAATCACTTTTCTCGCACGAGAAACAACCAACGTGTTTTTCTTTCTCAGTTTTTCTCGATACACACAAACACACAAATATACACACAACACCATAGAAAGATAGGACACAGATAGGATAGAAATATCCGAGATTTTTGTGAGTATAAAGCAACATACACATATAATATTATGGTGTGTGAATCTTTCGAGGGTTGGGTAGAAATAAAAGAGGGGTTTGGGGAGTGGGTGGGTGAGTGAGTGGGTGGTTAAGGGGAGGTGTTAGATGGGACACCATTCGTCGATCGACTGGACGATGAACAGATATTATTATTATTATTATTGTCCCTAGCCATAAAAGCCCAACTCTAGGAGATTGTTGCCCTTTTCCTTCACACACACGTTTATTATTGCTTTCTTCAATGCTTTACGAGAATCCGGTAGATTAAGACGAAACGGGAATCGGAAGTCGAATTTCAGGATTATTTCTTAGAATAGTAGTAGTAGTAGTAGTAGTAGTATAAATTATATTCGAGAACAAAGAAACAATTTTTCTTTTATTCGAAAAATGATTTCACTTGTATGTAGAGTTTTTGTCTTACTGGTTGAATGATGGTGGTGTAAATGTTGTAAAGGTTGTATTTAAATTGATGAAAAAATATAATATTGCATTGTGAATAAAAAATATTACAAATGAAAAATATTAGACACGTTGATAATACGAATGATTATAATAATTATATTATAACGTAACCGTGATTTGAAATGAATTAACCTACGTGCAAGAATTTTCTGAAATAATCGAAAAAACTTATAAAAATAATAAATATCCAAAGATCTACGTGTGTGTATTTTTAAATTTGGATATTACCCCTGTGTCGACCCTTTTAATGTAATCCAAAATATTATTTTCGAATACCTTTGACTTGATATATACAATCAATTTGATTGTCGAAAAAATAATACAATTTGCATATTATATTTTTTGTCCTAAAACAAACAAATGGAAAACAATTCTGTAAAAAAAATAATTCAATGCTTGGAAATATACCTCCCCTTATAGTAACCGAACGAAACAGTTAATATATCATTATTATCATTATTTTGTATAACTTAAAAAAAAAAAAAATGAAACAATTAATCTAAATTTAGATTTCGATAAATTGATTGTTACAGAACAACGAAATGGAAAATCTACGACTGTCATTGATGCCACCTGGTTTTTCGAGCAACACCAATAGCAGCAATAACGAGGATAGAATGGGTTCCTTGATCCCAGCATCCTTCAGAGAAACGACGTTATGGGTGTCAATTGTACTATACCTCGGCTGGACTCTCATTTCTCGTCTACGATAAGTCATAAGCTTTTTTCGCCACGCAGTAGCAGCAGCACCCACCAGCACCAGCATCATCCAGAGTATCATCGCATTTGAGAACATTGGGGGATCACATTATTATTATTATTATTATTATTATCGTTTAACATGAGCAAACAAAAATCTGATGGAAAAGCAGCAACAACAACAACAACAACATCAGAAGAAGAAAGAGAAAGAAGGTGGAAGAGGAGGAGGAGGAGGAGGAGGAGGAGGAGAGGTAGAGGAAAGGATATTTTCAAGTTTTAGGAAGTAGAGTAAGATGAGAGGAGAAATTTGAAAATAATTAACCAACCAATAACACGACCATTGTTCGGGTTAATAATAATCATTTTTTAATGGTTTTTTTTTTTTGGTTTTTTTATTCTTTAATCATAAAAAAAAAAAACAGATATTCTCCTCCGAACTCTATTTCCATTTATTGCTTTTCCTAGGCTTTCATATATATATATA